TTGATCTCCTTCTCTGGCTCGGGGGTCTCCACGGTGGTGCTGGCGATGGCGATGTACTTGCCCTGCGCCGCCACGTTGTGGGCAGAGGAGATCATGCACACGTAGATGTCTGCGGGACGTGGCACACGCCAGGATCAGCAGCAGGGACAGCAAACCCTCCTCCAGCCTCAGCCTCTGCCCACCCAGTACCTCCTGGGGCAGGCCAGCCTTGGCCCACGGCCCTGGGTGCTCTCAGTGCCCCGGCTGAGGGGCCTGGGCGTGAGGGAGGGCTCCAAAACTCAGCTCACTGGGGCTCTGATGGCTCCTGAAACCCAGCAGGGTCCCCACCCCACTGTTCAAGGGGGAGGAAGCACCTCCACAGCTCTGTGGTGGGGTTTAACTCCCCTCAGCCCCTTCCACACCTCCAGGGTGGGGTTTAACTCTCCTCAGCCCCTTCCACACCTCCAGGGTTGGGTTTAACTCCCCTCAGACCCTTCCACACCTCCAGGGTTGGGTTTAACTCCCCTCAGACCCTTCCACAGCTCTGGTTGAGTTTTAAGTCCCCTCAGTCCCTTCCCTACCTCCAGGGTTCAGTTAAACTCCCCTCAGGCCCTTCCACACCTCCAGGGTTGGGTTTAACTCCCCTCAGCCCCTTCCACACCTCCAGGGTTAGGTTTAACTCCCCTCAGCCCCTTCCACACCTCCAGGCTGGGGTTTTAACAGCCCTTCCAGCCCCGTGTTTCTTTTCCACTTGGCCAAACCCCCCCTTAGACCGAAACCTCTTCCACACCCTCTGCTCCAACACCAGCCCTCGCCCTCCCAGAGCACCTCACCCTCCTCACCCACTTCTCCCGGGCCGGGGCACTTCCCTCCCGCAGGTTCCTCCCGTGGTTTTCCCACCACAGGCTTCTCCCACCTCCCCCATCCCTGCTCAGAACCAAAGCCCAGCCTTGCCAGGGCCGGAAAACCCCTGGGCAAGGACAGCAGTGCCCGTTTTCCCACGTGGTTCCCCCTGCCCAGAGCTGCCCCCGCACCTGATTTCCGGTTGACCTGGTTCTGTGGAATGATGATCTGGCAGGAGTTGGCGTCGTTGGTGTTCTTGATGGGGTGGCTCAGGATGCAGATGACCCGGATCACCTGGCCCACCTTGGTCACGCGGTCCGACACGTAGCTGGGGTCGCAGATGAGCTGTTTGCAGCGAGCCACCTGGGACAGGGGGGGACACGGGACACCAGGACACCTCACAACTCCCTTTTCCAGGAATTGTTTAACAGCTGACCCACCTGGAGCCCCCAGGCCACCCACACTCGGTCACATCGCTCCGTGGTGTGGGTTGTCACCTCCACTCCCACATTTCCACCCCGAGGGGACACGTCACCAAGAGCTCAGCTGCCCCTCAAGCACCTGCTTCAGCCAGGAGCACATGGAGAGCTTCCCACATTTCCACCCTGAAGGGACATGTCACCAAGAGCTCAGCTGCCCCTCAAGCACCTGCTCTGGTCAGGAGCACATGGAGAGCTTCCCACATTTCCACCCCGAGGGGACATGTCACCAAGAGCTCAGCTGCCCCCCCGAGCTCCTGCTCCAGTCAGGAGCACATGGAGAGCTTCCAAGCATTCCCAGTTTTGTGTCTCCAGGTGGGGAAGCAGCTGCAGGAAGGCCACGTGCCAGCTGCTGAAGGGCAGGGCTGGGTGTCCAGGTTAGACACAGGAACATGGAATAAACCCCTTCCTGATTTACTCAGTTATTCAAGGACAATCCTGCCAGGGCATGGATACTCCATCCCAAGCCTTGGAAAGGGGCTCTTGGATGGATCCTCCTCATGAGGACACCAACGTGCCTCGAGTGAGCTGGAGAACAGCACCAGCCCAGCAGGTCTGGCCCTTGGGAAAACAGGGTTTCTACTGCAACTGTTCAATCTATGGCCAAAAGGCTCAGTTTTTAGGGGAAACATGGAGGGTAGGGAGTAAGGAATGAATCCAAGGCACTGTACCTCCCCTTCAGACTTCACCCCGACCACTTTGCCGTTCTCGATCACGATCTCCTCGATGGGCTTGTTGAGCATGTAGGTGCCTCCATAGATAGCGCTGAGCCTGCAGGGGGAAACTTCCACAGCTCCAGGCTGGGTTTAACCCCCCTCAGCCCCTTACACAGCTCCAGGGTGGGGTTTAACTCCCCTCAGTCCCTTCCACAGTTAAAGAGTGGGGTTTAACTCCCCTCAGCCCCTTCCACACCTCCAGGGTCGGATTTAACTCCCCTCAGCCCCTTCCACA